ATAAATAAATACTACATACATACTAAACATATATGTATATGTAATACACATTAGCTGCTTGACTTTTTCTAAGTCAACAAAGAGAAAAAACCGATCAAAATTCTTTCAAGCTAAGCACTGTGTGTGGCTCCACAAATCAAATAAAATACAGCCAGACATGCAAGCCATTTAATTTGCAGACAATTTTCAAAGTGTACAGCGCGGCGTATGCTTGATATTAGCTATGATGGAGAAGCAGTAGAAGAGGAAGCACAAGTCTCCACCTCCCACATTATATCGATTTCATTTTGGCAAATAAAAATGATGAAAAGTGCTTTTCGAGCTCGTCGCTCAGGTTCCCAACAACAACAAGAAGCGAAACAAGAAGCAAGTTCATATGAGAGTTGTAATTGTTGTTAGCGGCGCGTGGGACAATGCCAACAAAAACAAGAGACGAATAGTTGTTGGCAACAACTCACCCTTAAGGCTGGTTCCAGCCAGCCGAGCTACCACCACAGCGAGCCGCAGTGAGTGAAAAATGGCTCGTGGGAAAGCCAAAGGTTCGACGATTCTCACGCATGTTCAGCACGTGCGGGTCGTGCGACCATCTACAACAACAACAAGARTGAAACAACAACACGGGTAAGAAAAGCGCAGAGCAAATCGTTTGAAGTGCATTTAATGCACGTCGAGCGATACGAGCGTCGCTTTTGTTGTGCTACGATTTTCCATACACTAACCAAAGCGATATTCACGATCTGTTATAAAACAGGTATGTGGTGAAGTCAAGGTGCTAAGGTGTATGTTAATATATAATCTAAAAGCCTCTCTCTCTCTCTGCCTCTCTATCTCTCTTTTTCTTTCTCTCTTTCTCTCTCTCTCTCTCTCTCTCTCTTAGATTCTCAAGTGAAACAAGTAAAATATATTCCATATACAAAACTTTTCGAAAAGAACACACCCAGCAGTTGTTAGGGCATTCAAACTTCGCCTCGACGAATTCCCATTTTGCTTAATGGCATTTTTTTTGTAATTGTAATCGTAATTCTAACCAATTTTTATATAATAAAAAAATAATGAAAATTGGCTAGCGATTATAATCGAGCGTAGTAAATGAATTTTAAAATGCCGCGGACAGAGCTGAAACATTTTAGACCAAATATAGCTCGAACTAATTGTGAAATGTGGAGAAAAATGTGTGAGCTTTGTTGTTGTTGTACTACTTCATCTTCAATTCTCCGTTTGTTAAACAATAACACATTCAAAACTCTTTGCTTCAATATATGTAGTTCGTATAATTTTCGAAAAACAATTGGAAACTCTGTGAGGGACAGGAAAAAATCCATTTTAGGCAAATTTCTGCTAACATTTTTCCAGCTTTAGAAACTCTTAAGGCATTGATTATAGTTGTTGTTGTTGTTGTAGTTACTGCTGATTTGCTGCTGCTGCTGTTGCTTCTTCTTCGGCTTTTGGCTGCTTTGTAGTAAATTTTGCGCCTCGTCCGCATCATCGATCCAAGTTTCCAGGGTGCAGGCGCTGGAATGATGACTCGATCTCTGGGAATGATTTGAGCTGCTCAGCCGTTTGCCACTGGGCAGCGCCTGCAGCTGCCGCCAACGGCTGTCGAAGTTGGCCCAATGCTGACGCAGATCGAAAGGCTGCTCCACATCCTGCTCCTCCTCCAGGGAGTTGCCATTGATGTCCCACTTGACAATGGGATAGTCGTCGTGCGGCGGCTGCTCTCTGATTATCAAATTGTGATACTGCCCATCGAACTGGGAGCCCAAACTGAAGCTGAAGCCGCGCTGCTCCTGCTCCCGATCCCGCTGCAGATCGAGACTGGAATTTGAGGGCGTGTGCCGCAGATAGCGCACGTTCTCCTTGTAGTGCATCAAGTCGAATTGTATATCTAGATGTGAAGGCTCTTCCTCCAGCTGCTCCACGAATTCCTCGTCGGCATCTTCACACTGGGATTGGACGGATCTGTGTGGTTGATTATTGTGGTACGCGTATTGCTTATCATTCAGGGCAACTGGATTGCAGTTGCAGCCCATTGGCTCCTCCTTCTGCTGCTGCTCTCGCTCCTTCGCCGCCTCCGCCTCCKCCTCCTCCTCCTCATCCTCGTCCTGCTCCTCATCCTCCAGGCGCTGCACAAATAGTTGCTTTGATGTCGATATTTTGCGCAGCAGCTGCATAAAAATAAAACTCAATGTTAATGCGCATCAGGCGTAGCTTTAGGCTCGTTCCTATTCTGGGTGCTGCTATTACTGGTGTTACTGGCGCTATTACAGCTATCGTAGCCCCACCAAAAGGTCAGCGCCACACGCAGCCATCGATTTTTATACGCTATACTCATTCAGCCAAATGTTTGTGGGGTATTTGGGGTTTGGGCAAACGCTTGTGTAGGGGAAGGTTGGTGCTGCCAGTTGCTATAGGGAGTCTAAGGAGTCCTAAAGACAGCAAATTGTAGATATATGTATATGTACTACCTAACAGTCCATCTGTATATATCTTCATCTATAATTTTTTTTATACTTTTAAAATTAGTTTGACAACTTTTCTCTCTGTTTCCCATTCGCATAGATTTTATTATATTCAAGAAACAGCAGGATCAGCAAATGCCAGTTGGTACATACATATACATATCACTCTCTACATGTCCGAATACTATAAGAAATAAACAATAAACAAGGCACAGTAAATACTTTAATTATTCATTAACTTTTTGCAGAGACTTGAAGTATTTGTACAGTAGAGTCCGGCTATAGCGACGCGTAAGGGACTGACGTTCTTACTTCACTATACCCGGAAGACGAAAAGGACGTCTTTTCTATGAGGAATTGTCAAAACATCGTATTTGCGTCACAGTAATCGGACAAACACTATATGCGTAGTCGTTATAACTGGATTCTACTGTATATTATATTACTAGAAACTACAATAACTTTTATTTTACTTCCTTCAATTCACTTAGTTAACTGTTTAATCCGACATATTCAGGGTATCTACTAGTCAGTCATTAAACTTTAGTCACTTTTGTTCGTGGCTTTTTCGTATTATATTGATTGGGCACAGGGACCCACCCACGACCGCATAGGCTCACCTTGAGACAGGACTTCTTGGTGCGCCTCAGCAAATGGGACATGACAGCGTTCAGAGTGTGTCTATTGTGGTTGTTGTTGTTGTAGAAGTTGTTGTTGCTGTTGTTAATGTTGTTGTTGCTATTGTTTAATGTGAAACAGACTTGAGCCACGCGACATTTTGATTGTTGCGGCTGCTGCTCCTGCTGCTGTTCCTGCTCCTGCTGCTGCGGCTGCGGCTGCTGCAGTTCGTCGGCAAATCCAAACTGAAATTGGAAATAGAAACGTTATAGAAACGCTTGCGTTTAACCCTCTCCCGGCTAGGCGTTATGGCTGAGCTCAGTCGAGCGGTTCGGCGGCGGTCGCAGGTGGACGTGAGCAGCTCGCTCGTGTTTGCCGCATGACTCATAGAGCAGCAGGAATTGCAAGTGCCAAAACGAGCTAAACACACACGCAGACAGGCACACACATACACTCACATCGACAGCTGAGAGCCGAAGGCTTTTGTCGGCACCGGCGCAGTAAACATAATCTCTATATATGTATACAAGGCGCCATCGCCTACATTGTTTGAGTGCAGATTTCTGGTATTTGAGGCCCATTTCGAGTGGACCCTCGAGTGCAAATGGCGTCAACGGGCAGCCAAATGCGCTAATGTGCTAATGCGTCAGACTCAACCCGACTGAGCCCCTTTCCCCTCGGAACCCCTGAGCCTGGAAGCCTCGGAGTCACCACTTGAGCGGGCTAGCCTTGGGTGCGTGCTTTCATTGTGGCCTGGCGCCAATTTGTAGCCATAAATTACTTTGTCCTGATTTCTTTTTGTTTTTTAGAGCACTCCCAGCGCAGCAGCGGAAGAAGCAGAATTTGAATAGCCAAGCAAATTAGAGTTGGCGAAATGCTCTATCAAAATTTGGATACTATTGTAAAAGATTTAAGTTAAAACATATAAACATTAATTTTTTTTTTTTTTTATGTAAGAGCTTTATTTATTCTATATATAATAAACATATATTTCTAAAAAATGTATAAGCTTAAATTATTTGAATAAAGTTTTTAGAAACTCTTCAGAAGAGGACAATATATACGAACAACTGTGGCAAAATATATTAGTAGTAGTAAAAAATATAGTAGTAGTAGTAGTAGTAGTACAAACACTTAAAAAACTCAATATTTTAAACATAATTTTAAGCAAATATTAAGGCTAACATACATATATTGTTTTTACTTTAGATGTTGAACTACTGACTCTAAGTTCTTTTGTCCAACATTTGGTAGTGCTCAGATGCATTACTATTTTTATGACTAATACTAAATATATATATAGGAGTATCGTTAGTATATATTCATTGCATATAATATTAAAAAGTTGGTAGAAACTGTCTCTTTATACACGATTTATTAAAAAGAAGTTTTTTTTTTTTAGTCAATAGTCGAAGTTCTAAAAGATCTTAAACAAACAATATTATATACACATTGAAAATAAAATAATGAATTTTCTTTCTAATTTATGCAGTCACATAAATTGTTCTGTAATTAACATAATTTTCAACTAATTTGCTTGACATTGGAACTGTGGGAACTGCGCTATCTGTAGGATGTTTTTTGATGCGACTGCAGCGAAATAATTAATGACATTTACATTTAAATTTCGTGGGCTTATTTACAAAATGATTTAAATGCAATTTAAGTGTTAAATGTAAAAAACGAGTTTTTCAATTCAACTATGGTTGAAATTTCAATTGAGAAAGAGAGAGAGGAGGTAGATACAGCAGAGAGAGAGAGAGAGAGAGATAGAGAGCACTTGAATGAAACTTGAATTTGAAGCACTTTGCGGCTTGTCCGACAATTTGTCACATCACTCAAAGTGAAGTGCGCGGCAAGAGCAGGACATGGCAGGACATGGAAGGATCTGGGCGAGGACATCGTCCGGAGCTGAAAACTCAAAATGAATGAATGATGACACACGCAGCTAATTGTGCTGGGCAGCAACAAAAATGATATTTGATTGAATTTGAAGTTAGAAAAAGGGATATACATCGACATACGTACATACATACATATATATGTGGGTTATAGCTACGAGTATAATTTACAGTTGGAGCGTGACTGGATAGATTTTTGAGTACTACGATCGACAGACAATCGCTCATATATTGTCTTTTTTGTTTTGTTTTTTTTTTTTTTTTGGTTTCTCTCTGTCTCTTTGACAGATGTCAGAGCTCGCTTTTTAGTTGCTGTGCGCCATTGACTAGGTAAAGGGTATATTGATGAGTTGGCCAATTAAGGATTGATCGATAACTTGGCAGACAACTGGCGAATTGGAAATATCGATTTCAAGTGCTTGCTTGATTTTAATTTATAATTGCCAAACAATTTGAGTAGGGGGTGGCTCTCAAGTGTTGCGAGTGCGAGACGAGAGATGGACGAGAGGAGAGACGAGAGGAGAGAGAGAGAGAGTTCAACCCCGCTTCGACACGCCGCATAGATTTTTATTGTTATTGTCATTGTGGTTCAAATGCCGCAGGGTGGGATTTGTATTCGTATTCGTATTTTCGTATTATCACTTGAGGCTTTGAGGCCTTGAGCCTTTGGAGTCGTGTCAATTATGCGCATTTCGTTAATTTCGCTCGCCCATTGTGCGAAATTTACATTTTATTAGTTTTACATGCTCGAGGCATTAAAATTATTTACGATCCCAAATATTGTTGGTTGTAAATAATTTCGCTGGCACGTGGAAAACACATACGCACACACACTCACGCACACATGGCCTACAATCATTAATTGTCAAATGTAACGGTCAATGCTTGACCTTTTCCTAATTAGTGGCGCATTGTTCCGGGCCTATTTCAGCATCTCTGTTTCTCTCTCTCAGCTTCCCTATCTCCAGAGAGCTATGCCTGGACACGCGCCTTTTTAAATGTTTTTCAAGTCTGTTGCGATTTCGTGAATGGATCGACGACAGACAATTGTTTCACTTAGCCATATATATAGATGTGTATATACTATTTATATACTGATAAGAACATCAAAAAAGAAAACGAGGTGGAATGTTAGCTAACGAGAGTTCGACTTGGGCATGCTCTAAGTCGACCTGAATTGAGCGAGAGTATAGAGGGTATATGCATATGAATTTGTATATATGTATGAATTTGGGTTAGAATATGTGCTGTTTAGAGAATATATAATGTATAGCTTCTAGCTAAACTCGTTCTATCATATACAATACTGTATATACATTATCATTATGTATATCAACATATTATTATTATTTTTATATCCTTATCATTATATGAAGCTACAAATAACATTATACCCATTGCATAGTGTTTGCAGGGTATACACAATGTGCGCTGATTATAAGCACATCTCTCAGTTTCTTGAGTCAGTTAAGACTTACAGTTGCCTTGTGCCAGACGTCGTTTGTGCTTCTACAGAGAAATGGACACCCAGGGCATCAACTTCTATGACAAGGAGCTGGACATAGGTCGCATCGTAGCCGAGGCACAGCTGGAGGATTGCGATGAGGCGCTCAATATATGCGACCTGAGCACTGTGGAACGCAAATTCGAGCTGTGGCAAAAGCAGCTGCCACGCATCACGCCCTTCTATGCCGTCAAATGCAATGATGACAAACGAATTGTACAAACTCTGGCTGATCTCGGCGTGGGCTTCGATTGTGCCTCGAAGAACGAACTGAAACAGGTCTGTGTAGCTGTTAATATGTGCATCTATTAATATATTAATGTATGTATGAATATATCTGACTAATTAACATACAGGTTCTCGATTACGGCGTCTCGCCCGATCGCATCATCTTTGCCAATCCCTGTCGTCCAATCAGCCACTTGGACTACGCCAAGCAGCAAAAGGTGCTCAAGGGCACCGTGGACAATGAATTCGAGATTTACAAGCTGCACAAACACTACCCTGAATCCAAGTGTGTATTGCCTTTAGTCTCTCTCTCTCTCTATCTCTCTCACTCTCTCTTATATTTAATTATATTTTATTAACAGCCTCATAGTTCGCTTCAAGTCCGAGGCAAAGGCCGCTCAATGCCCGCTGGGCGATAAATTTGGTTGCGATGCGGACATTGATGCCTCGGCGCTGATGCTGCTAGCAAAATCACTCGATTTAACAGTGAGTCATAGTAAATTCCATATAGATTAAGTAAATAAACATTTCAAAATGGAAAACCTAAATAAAGTTTACTGTCTATTTTACATTAAAATAATCTAGAGTTAAGTAAATAAGATGCCAGTATATATATTCTCAATCAGCAAACAAAACTTACTTAATTTACTCTAATTTTCAGGTAACCGGCACCAGTTTTCACGTTGGCTCCGGCTGCTCCGACATGGAGGCCTATGAGCGCGCCATCAGGAAGGCAAAAAACCTTTTCAAGTTTGGTCAACTCCTGGGCTACGACTTGGATCTATTGGACATTGGCGGCGGCTTTCCGGGCAGCGACGATGAGCACTTCATAAAGGTGCGTAGAATCTGCAAAGCTTGCAAAATTATAGACTATAAATAAATGTGTGTGCATACAGCTGGCTGACACGGTGAACAGTGCTGTGCAAAAGTATTTTCCCGATGAACGCATTGAGATAATTGCCGAGCCAGGTCGTTTCTTTGTGGCTGCATCATATACACTGGTCTGCAAGATTCATGCCAAGCGCGAGGTGCGCAACGCCGCTGGCAAGCTGGACACCGTTATGTACTACTTGAACGATGGCGTCTATGGGTCCTTCAATTGCATACTCTACGATCATCAGACTGTAACAGTGGAGCATTATTTGGTAAGGCATTTGCAAATTTGAGATATATTTGAGATATTTAATGTATATTGTATTTCAGCCTGCTGATCCTTTGCTGCCCACTTTCAAGAGCTTGATCTGGGGTCCCAGCTGCGATGCTCTGGACAAGGTAAGTTTTTTTTATTATCTATAATCTACCTAACTTGTATATTTATGCCCATATCTCACTTCATTTTCAGATCTCTGAAAATCTACGTTTGCCCTACTTGAAGTGTGGCGATTTGCTGGGCTTTCCCAACATGGGCGCATATACAGTGCCCATTGCCAGCGCCTTTAATGGTTTTCCCTTGCCGAAAACTCTTTACTTTAAGGCCATATGACTAAATGAATTGGCATTGATAAATAAACAAGAGATGTGTATGTTAGTAACCAATATGATTTTTATTCATTATAATTGCTCCATTGAGAACTTAGGATATGTTTGTTTACAATACTAAAGAGTATTCTCCGCTAAGTTCAACAACAAAGACATTGGAACTGCTCCATGGATTCGGTTTTGCATAGTTTTGTATTTTTCTTTTTTTTTTTCTTCTTGTTTTTTTTGTAATTTTTCAAAAATATTTTGAAAAGAACAGCTATCACCAAAACTGACCCGAATTGGGATTTTCAGCGCATTCTTTTGAAAATATTAAATTGTTCTTTTTGGAAAAATATATATATATATATACATACATACATATATATAGAGTTTGTTAAAGATTTGTGTTGAGTAATGTACGCCAGTTGGTTAACTGACCCAACCAAGACTGATGTACATTACCTTGGACAAAATAGAAATATAAAATAGGTATATGTATGTATATATATATATATTGATATATATATGTATATAACTTAATTCAAATACAATTCAATAGAGTTTCAGATATTAATATCAAAAAATCAAATCAAAAAACAATTTCAAAAATTGTATTCTCTTAATATCAAAAATTCTTGCTCATGCTCAAAAGTAGATCTATAAAATTGTTTATTTTTTTTTTCTTGTCYGATATGTTGTGATATGGTATAACGATTATTTGTATATATTTATTTATAATAATTGATATCGTGTATATGCGCTTATCGCTTTCCTCATGTTTCTCTCTTGCTTGCTTTTGCTTGCATATAAAGAGTACAAACTACTTATTTCATAATCAGTTCTTGGTGATTGATGCAAATATTATTTCCTTCTTCTTTTGTTTGAACGCGTACAATTTTTCATTTCTCATTTAGATTAGTGTTAGTTTTACATATACATATAGAGTTAGTAATTCTTTGGTAAATAATTCGAAGATTGGAAAAATTTCGACTAGGTTTTCTTTTTTGTTTTTCTTTTTGATATGCTGCTTGGCGGAAAAAACTTGAATAGCAAAATGTAATACGGTACATATATAGAATATATACATATATGTGGATAAAAACAATAAAACAACAGATTTCATTATAATGATTGTATCTCACAACAGCGACGACGACATAGTAGTACTACACACATAGGCATGCACAATAAATAGGTACATATATGTGCTCTTAGAGTTCTATAATATAATATTTAATAATATGATAATAATAATAATAATATCGCTTAACTTGTAACAATTCACGTTTTCTTTTCAGATATGTATGCGTTTTCAGATATGTTTGCGTTTACATTTTGTTTTAGTTTTTTACTCTTAAATCTAAGCTACGTTTCGATTGCCGATCGATAAACACATTTATCGATAGGTTAACAGCTAACGATCGGCTTTCAAATTCTCATTTCATTCTTTTGTTTTTTATTTATTTATTTATTTTATTTTTTTTTTTTTTGTCGGGCTACTGTTCGAATGTCTGAAATGTTCTGTGTGCGTATTTAATGGATATTTTATGATTTCATTTCGAAATTATTTCTGTCTTTGTAGCACGATTCATGATATTGGCATCAGAACGATATATAATTCAACAAGGTGGGTGTTTATATATATTTTTTTTTTTAATTTTAGTTATTTTGCTTTTAGTTTTTGTCTTGCATTTTTGTGTAATTCAGTTTCGATGGGGCACTTGCGGGTGATATTGCAGCTTGTTTGTTTTTGAGTGGGAAGTTGTTGTTGTTGCTGTTGTTGTTGCGTGCATATTGTGTCTAACAATTGCCAGAGTTGCATAATTCACGGATTCACTATAATCTATAATAAAAAATACAATACAACAACACAGAAATGGTTTGTAGGCATACAAAAAATTGGACATTTGGGAATTGGGAATCGCGGGCTGGTTGGGCTGGTTGGTATGACTGGGCTCAATAGGTATCACTTCGGCTAATGATCTGATCTGATCTGATCTAATGATGATCCATCAATATGGATAAATGGAGCAGAGCAAACATAACAAAAAAACGGGGAATGTGTGAATGCAATTACGATACGTTTGCTTATGCTGCTTTTGGTTAGGGAGCTTCGCATTTATATTTAAATGCTACTCAGAAAGGCCACGCTACACATGGCCAATTGGGCCAAAATGTTCACTTGCAGTATCCGCATTAGACCGCCGCTGGTGGGTGAGGGACTCACATTGAGGCCAGCACAGTGCATCTTCTCGATGGGCATCGCTTGTACGAAATATTCGCGATTATCCAACGACATGTGGCACAGCGGCTTCTTCTTTTGTGACATTTCATCGTCCTTGTTCTTCAGATCCTCCAACAGCTTAGGGAACCAAATCAATTCACACGAACAGTTTAATGGATTGTCTGTTGAAGTCGTAATAAACATTATATTACAAGTTATTTTCCACTAATATCCCATCTACTTGCCAGTGATATCAATTATGCGCAATGTATCGATGACCGGTTCCATTGTATCCTGTGGAATGCGTTGCATTTTATTATTCTGCAAATTTAACGTCTCCAGCGAATTGAGGTTCTCGAAGAGGGTACTGGGCAGTACTTTAATGCTATAATTGTTAAGTCAAGTTAATATTTGTGCCAATATTCTACATATATGCTAGATATATTTTGATTGCTTTACTCGTTCTTCTGCAGATTAAGGAAGGTGAGCGAATCGCCGTATCCAGTAAAAGCATCATCGGCCAGCACATTGATATTGTTATTTCTCAAATCCAAATGGCGTAGACGGTGCAATGGGCGCAATGCCTCACTGGGTATGGCATTTATATTATTATCGCCCAAACGCAAATATTGCAGATTCTCTGTGAATATATACAAGCATATAAATATATATATTGTATTATATAGGCAATCTAAATGATTCCTTTTAAAACTCACCCTCCAGTCCCTTGAACGCATCCTTGTCAATTACACTAATCTTGTTGCCCTCCAGTTCCAGCGAGTTGAGTAGACTCAAGTGTGTGAATACATTTGCAGGCACGGTTGTAATCATATTATGTGCTAATATCAAAGAATCCAAATTCTGCAGACCTGTCAGTCAATTGGAATGTATGCATATGTTTAACTTACAAGTTATCGAAAATGGGAGCTGAGTACTCACCTTCAAAATCTCCCTCACTGATCGTTCGTATTTTGTTCTCTTGTATCTCGAGTTTTTTTAGTGTATCCAATATGGAGAGCGCCTTTTGTGGCACACTTGATAGCTCATTACCACCCAGGTTCAAGCGCTTCAGTTTCCTACAAAATATAAATTTATAAGAACTCAAATGATTTAATTTAATTATGTGTACGTACTTCTCTAGCCCGCGGAATGCTTCAGGATCAATCTGTGATATTTTGTTCTCATAGAGCGTTAGAATCTCCAACGTGTCCAGTCCCTCAAAAGCGTTGTTGTGAATTACAGTGATCTTGTTGTGGTTCAAGTTTAAAATCAACAAATGATATAGATGTTGCAAAGCCTGTAAAAAAGATTTGAATTTAATAAATTGTGTTGTAAATTATTAACAAATAAATTTGGTCTACGCTTTTTTAAAATAACTGCCCAAATTACTACTATAGATGGCTCGTTAATTCACAAACACTTATCGATAAGCACACCTATCGCTCATACTTGCAAATCAATTGAGATGACAGCATATCGATATTTAAGTACGATCAAAATGAACTCACTTGCGATGGCACCGTTTTCATTTGATTCAAAGAAACATCCAGCTGTGTGAGTCCTTTTCCTGCAACAAAATGTATATATAACTATTTGACATCATATATGTACATATTTAATTTCTGCACTTACCCAACGAACTTAATGCATTCTCCTCGATGGCTGCTAAGCTGCTGTTGTGTATTGTCAGATGACGTATGTCCAGAGCCAGAAATACAAATCCCTGCAGCTTGGGCAAATTATTGTGCCGCAGCTTCAAATAGAATATGATTGGACTTTTGCCCTTCAATGTGCCCATGGATTTGGCAATATGCGACAGATCCGTCGTCTCGCACAATACATCGAGTCCATTCTTCTTGACGGTGCATATACAGGGCGCAATATCAGCTTGCTCCGGGCACACCTGTTGCGGTGTACCCTGGGCCATTGTCTGGACCAGCAGAAACAGCATCAAACAGCTTATGACGCCCACTGTATGCGTGCATTGGAATAGCAGCTGCATTTGTCCTACCATGTTGACTCGCACACTCGCACGGACACCAAAGCTTAGCTCTACTCAAGCAGCGATTGCTATGATTCCAATAAGCCGTTAATGCTATATACAGTTGTGTCCCTGTGGAGAATATAAGAGTGTGTATAAATATAAGAGTCTATGCAAAAGCGAATTACAAAGCGAAAAGCGAATTACAAATTAAGCGCACAATGCGCGATTTGGATTTATGCATGTGTGTGAGTGGGCAAGTGTGCTCTGTGTGAGTGAGTGTGTGTTTGGCGGATTAAAAATAAATTGAACTAATTGAGCAGCACTTGACGTATCGTTGTAGTTGCTGCTCAGCGTCCAAAGTTACGCATGAAAATTGCAACAATAAATTAGCATATGTGTACATATTTACATATACATACATATATATATGTATATATTTATGAAATGTGTATATACAAATGTATATAATATAAATATATTTAGAATAAAAATCGTTAAGCTCACCTAAAATGTTTGTCCGTCCCTATTGAATCAGTGCCAAATAAATCATGCTTCTTAATGCGATGCGGCGTTAAATGAGTTAATAAACCTTTTATTAAATACGCCTTTCCCACTTTTCCGATTTTACAGTTTCCCGCAGTCGACAACAAGCAACAATTAGTCAATGTTGACTTTCACTCCGCACACACGCACGCACACACGCACCCACACACAGGAGTGAGGAGTGCAGCCTCTGCCCCTGGCTGGCTGTGTGCGTATGTATGGGTCTGTGGCTGTGTGTGTTTGGGGAGGTTGTGGTGGTTGGTCTTAAAGAGGGGCGTGTATAAACTCGGTCAGAGTGTGTGTATAACGATGTAACGGAAAATCGATATCATTCAACAAAAAAAAAAAAAAAAGGAAGGAACTGTTGCCACTCAGCGATGCTTTTATCAATTATTATACAAAATACTTTGTTTACGTATTATATTCGTATTTATGAGTATGCACTAGCATTTAAATTAGCTGAAAGCTCGCTCAATTGTTGCCGCATTAGATGAACATAATTTGTATTGTGTCGCTTGAAATTGTGTTGTGGCAACGCTTTAGTTGATTTTTTATTGTGATTTTTCTTCTCTTTTTTATACTTTGCCGCGCGCTGACATACGCATTAGCTGAGTATAAATAT